GAGGCGCCTGGAAAGGAGGATACGTGAATACATGCCGGCCTAACTGAGTAAAGGTGGAACTAGACACAGTTCGTGTTCTATTCTCGCACGTTTAGTCTAATATGAATCAGCGAGTCAATCCTAACAACGGCTTTAAGGCTGTCTATCGGATATAAGTCTACTCATCAAAGGGTGAGGCGCACTTTCGAGTCCATTCTCTGGGATTACAATTTGATAAGACGTTTCTGCTACTCATTTCTCTGATGATGAATCCGCGATGGATGTCGAAACTTCAGGTGAATAAAAGTATCATCCCAGCGATTGAGTCTTCTTCTTCTTCTTCTCAAGACGTAGTTTCCCGGCAGCCTATTGGGAATGTCCACATTCCTAGAACGTGATTGGATTGCATTTGAGTGCGCGTGCGCGTACTTCGGCTGCGTGCTGCCTGCCTGTAGCAACCAAGCTCTCAATAGTGCCTTGTCATTGGCTACTGTCACGGTGCTTTCGAGGAACTCTATTGGTTCACTTCTTCTAGAACTTGTTCGTCTTTTCTAGTCCTTTCTTGAAACGCTTTGGAGAGCCTTCCAGCTGGTAAGAATGAAATGTACGGTGACCTAAATAGGACACGTGATATTAACTTCCCAATATAGATGCGACTACGCCAACTTTCAGATAAATCAAGTGTAGGATTAAGGTGAAGGTTAGGATTATGTTGAGGGTTAGAACTGAAGTTAGGATCAATGGCACAGTTAGGATTAGGGTCAGGATTCTGTTAAGGCTACAGTTCGCGTTCACTGTATTATTGGGGTTAAGCTAATAGGTAAAGTTTAGATTGAAGTGAGAGTTATGTTGTATGTTAGGGTTAAGGCATGAGAATACTTATCCTTCCTGAAAGGTATCGCAAGGCCCCGTATGGTTTTTGCTATATGAATGCACGCTTCCATGCCCGTAAATACTCCGCAGTTTTTTCATAGTATTTGATAGATGTAACTTTAACTATTCACATATATTTGTGGAGCGAGCACCAAAGGCTTCCGTCCGAAGGATATGTTCCAAGTTTGCGCTAATTTTCCTACGCAATAAAAAATGTCGCAGTTTTAACTTAAAATTAAGGTCTATGCCTCGATTACATCCCTCCTTCTACTTAACGTCCTTTTAGGTACTCGTCCATCTGAAGAAAAATATTACCGCCCTGCGCTCAGAAAGAACCGCACTTACTTCTCTGAGAGCCACACTTTGCAAGTTCAAGTTCAACAAGGGCTCCTGCAAAGAGAGACTTTTCTACGGGGTCACCTTTGCAACTGTGCAGCTAAACTACGCGGCTGATTGCGCCCTCGAGGAGTCTAAGCGGACCCTTATTGCAGCGTCCACTGAAGAGCAGGCTAGATTGAAAAAACTAGACGAGGAGCTGAGGAATTTAGGGGGCAGGCAAACTAACCAAATCCGGGTGGCTGATGAAGTACTGCGTGCAAAGGTATGTTATTGTACATTTGGTTGGTTGCCTTTTCCCCTCTTCGAGTTGGTAGTCCCCCAGTGAGCAGAAGGAAATCTGTGTTGTCTCTTGTTTAAATTGTCCTATGAGGGAGAATTTTTGCATCATTAAACCCACTCCCTTCCTCTATCTCCCTGTCGACCAACATTCAACTTGTTTTCAGTGTCAGGGGTAGGAAACGACCGCAAGTGAATATGTAGCAGCCAATTTAAAGACCCGCTCAACTGATTGATTTTCATAAGTGTATATTTCATATGGTGCGTTTGCGGACAAAATATTAACCTCTGATGAACTGGAATATAACTCCTGGCAGGGATGATCAAATATGAATATACAGTATTTAGTATTTCGCGTGCTGTTGCTTAAATGATTGCGCCTGAGAAGTGCAAAGACTGATTCTGCTACTCATGTCTCTGATGATAAATCCACGACGGATGTCGAAACGTCAGGCGGATAAACGTATTGTCCCAGCGATCGAGTCTTTTTCTTCTCAATTGCTTCCTAGGACACGCGTGTTCGCTTGTATTGGCAACACGTAATAACAGTTACCCCAACATTAACTACTAAGACTGTCTGAGTAAAATAATCAAGCAGAGGAATGGTGGGTAAACTCTGTCCGTTCCGATGTTATGTTGGTATCGAACACTGGGGATAAAATTGTGGCAGTAGCCGACCCGCATTTGGACGAGTAAGCCAAGGACGTGTGCGACGGAAGCCCAGTTTTCTTACTCAAGTGCCGCAGTCACATCCTAGGAGAGCCAGTAGAGAGCTATGTGGTGTTTATATCTTATCGGTCTGTCGTTCGACAAGGTTGTGTCCTGTCGCCCATTCTCTTTAAGCATGCCATTGACTGGGTTCTCGGGAAGGCCCTACAGGAAGGGGATGGTATTGAGCTCGCGCTCAGGCGCCGTTTGGCTGACCTCGACTATGCCGACGATATCGCTTTACTAGCTTCAAGCTTGCGCGATCTACAGTCTATGGTGTCAAGGGTGAACGGGGTCGTAAAATCGGTCGGTTTCTTCATGAACGCTGGGAAGATCAATTTTTTTTCAAGCTGCATCCCTGCCCA